TGGAACTGATTTCCTCAACTAACTCTCTGCAAAAAAAGCGAATAACCTTTTTTCCCAAAAGGTCAAGCTATTCTTTTAATGTTAATTCAGACTTGCTATTCAAATTGCTAAGTACAATTTCCTATTTATTTTAGCTTCTGAGTGAAAGGAATTGAGGCTCAACAGGAAAGCATAATTTTTTCCACTTGACATCCTGACCCTCCAGCACACATATCAGTTACAAGCTGACTGCTCTTATCTCTTCACTACCGCCTTATCTTGATTTGCATAAATGGTATCTCCGCCTTCGGGGAACACTTACATCAAAACATAATAACATTTACTTTGAAAGGAATAATTAACATAAGTATTCCACGATCTGGCACAGGTCTCTGGCCCTGAGGTGAAAGAAAGCTGCTGTATTCATTCAGCCTAGTCATCTCATGCTCACTTCTTTTATTGGAACTTGTCCTTAATCAGAGTTTATTGAACTACCTCTGCATTTATTCACAGAGTTGTATTGCAGACAATGTCATTCTTTCCCTCTTAAGGGCTTTACAACCTCCTAACTGGCTGGCCCAGTGGCACTGCGGTGTGCGAGTAGACATCAATAACAAGTTAGTCGGCTTCATCGCTGCTGTTCCTGCAGATGTGCGCGTATATGAGATGTGAGTACCTCATAAATATATGCAAAGATATGTGTTTACGGTGATATCTGATGAGATACATTAAGATTCACAGCCCTTGCCAACACAACTGTAGAAATTGTCCTGTAAATGTCTCAAAGCAAATGCTCAAAATGTGTTCTGCAGGGAGAAGCGGATGGTCCAGGTCAAATTCCTGTGTGTTCATAAGAAGCTGCGCCTCAAGCGAATGACTCCAGTTCTGATCCGAGAGCTCACCAGACGGGTCAACCAGCAGGGGCTCTTCCAGGCTGTCTACACAGCTGGCATAGTGCTGCCCACACCACTAAGCTCCTGCAGGTAGTAGCTGCTACACAGACATTGACTCACACTTCACAGTGAAGCCACAATTGTCATTTTTAAAGCCTCTGAATGGGTTTTGATGTGAACGCACACATGCTTTATTTACTCGTTTGAAGCAGCAGAGTGCATTTGGAGAAAGGTCATGTCACTTTTTTCTGATCACCAATAAAAATGTGATGACAGTCGTGGGATTATGGCGCCAGGCCACTGTCAACCAAATCTGCTCAAACCGCACCCACCCAGTCCCGATGAAGCACATTAGTTGAGATTTTAAGTCTAACTCTAAATAAATACCGATAGATGTTTTTAACCCCAAAGTTAACTTTGATAATTGCTTGTTATTAATGAATATTTAATATTATAATGAAATAACAAGTTTTTAGGTCTTTCCCACAATTAACAATTGGTGTCACGTACTGTATCCCTAATTAGCAAATATGCAGTCTTTATTTTTAGTACACATATTTATTCCAATTAATACAATGAGGGCTACAAATTAGCTTCAGTTAGGCACTATATATATATACACCTATACATCGAATCCCAACCCTAAATAAACAGACTCGTTCCTTTAGATACTGGAATCGTTCTCTGAATCTCCGAAAGCTGACAGAGGTGAGCTACCCAGGTCTGAGACAGACCATGAACCTGCAGAGAGCAGTCAAATTCAACCGCCTGCCTGAGGTTAGTTTGTGCTGCCACCTAGAGGAAAAATCCTGTTAGTGTCATTACAATCTGACATTGGTCTGATATCACAGAACTATCAACTGAATGCCCAGATGACTGACAAAATATTTAAAGATACTGATTTTATCAGGAATTTATTTTTCATTCTCACAGCACTTACTGAAAGTGGTTTTTTTTGCTATCTTTCTCCAAGGTGACCAAGACGCCAGGTCTGCGCTCTATGACTAAAGAAGATGTTGCCGGGTTACACTCTCTACTCAAGGCATATTTCCGCAAGTTTCACCTCAGCCCCATCTTATCTTTGATGGAAGTAGAGCATTGGCTGTTGCCGAGGGACAACGTGATTGACACTTACGTTGTGGAGGTCAATTTCAGCCTCTCTATTTTTAATTTCCTCACCCTTTTTCTTAAACATTTAAATTCACATGTTGTTGATATGATATGTTGATGTTGCAGTAGTTAAGAATTGATTCATCTCCCCTCCTCACACACAGGGTGATGACGGGACACTGACAGACGTGGTGAGTTTCTATGGCGCCTCCTTCAGGGTGCTGAATCACCCGGTCCACACCGGCCTGAGAGCAGCTCATCTGCTCTACTTTGCCTCTACTGCCGCAGACCCAGTGGAGCTCATGGAGGACACATTGGTCCTGGCTAAATCTGTGAGTGTGTCAGGATAAATGAATTTAAAAAGAGCACAATGAGTCCAACTTTAAATGTCTATAGGAAAACATTTGAACATGTTTTACAATGTGCATAGATTTCGTTTATTGTGCATTATGACAAAATAAATGCTTCTTCTCCTCACTGACAGAAAGGTTTTGACATCTTCTCTGCTCTCGACGTGATGGATAACAAGACTTTTCTGGAGAAGCTCAAGTTCAGCATCAATGACACGAGCCTTCATTACTACCTGTACAACTGGATGTGTCCTAATGTGAGCCCAGACAAGGTACTGAAGACTGTAATAGCTCCACCTGTCAAGGCACTTCACTGTTTAGTCCTCTGCACCATTTCTCTCTGCTGTGCTTTTTGATAAAATTTCTATGAATTCTTACTTCTAAAGTCTCCTTATGTAATATTGATATTTTTCAGGAAAGACATAAGCTATTACAGTATATTGCACATTGAAAAATGCACATATTCAATGGTGGAATGTGACAAAGTACTAAGGTATGCAACCCATTTTAGAGGGAAATATTCTACTTCTTACTTTACTACTAAAACATACGAAGAGCTTAGACAATATGATGTTTTGTCATTAATTAAACTAACCAACAGTTTATACAAGAACTAGTACATGATTTTATTTTAATAATGTAAATGTATTTTTAATGATTTTGAGGTTTGGACGGTTGGTTGAATTAATGAGAATTGAGAAGGTGTCACAATGGGTAATTGTGATGGTATTTCTCACTATTTTCCTAATTTTTACAAACCACAAAATTAATATTAATGGAGAAAATAAACAGCAGAATAATCTATGATGAAAATAATCATTAATTGCAGTACTTTACAAATAGTATAAAAAGGCTCCACCTAAGCCAACTACAACAGTAAAATCATGCTTTTACATCAATAATAATATAATAATAATCTAATAATCTAATATATATAATAGTACAGCAGTCAGAAGTGACATTTTTCTGATTATACTTACATACTTTTACTTAAGTAACATTTTAAATGCAGATATTACTGCACCACTGTTACCACTGAACATGTTGAAAGCTGCCAGTCATCAGTAATTCAAAGTAATAAGTGTATGTTTTACAGGTGGGCTTGGTGTTACCCAACTGATACCCCACTGAAAGAAGATAGAGTGGTTACGATGAAAGGACCGGAGCCATTGGCAGGACACCAAACTACATCACCAGCATGAATTTGGGTTGAAAATAAAAACTGACAAACTGTAAAAAAAACACACACACACACACACACACACACACACAGAGAGAGAGAGAGAGAGAGAGAGAGAGAGAGAGAGAGAGAGAGAGAGAGTCACATATCAATGAAAGAAATAAAGACAGAATTCCATTTGTAAATACATTCATCATCTGCATGTCAGTTATTCACTGGTTCAGTGATTGTTTATGAAATGATGGAGAATTGAGCAAATTCAAGCAGTTCAGAAAATGCATCCCATACATCCTAATACCAGTGTGTGTGTGTGTGTGTGTGTGTGTGTGTGTGTGTGTGTGTGTGTGGAGCATGAGTGTTTCGGCAGGCAATTCAAATAACCTCTGGTGACATGACACTTTAGTGCATTTAATTTGATTAGAGAACAAGATCATTAATCACTCTCACTCACACATGTACAAACACAGACAATAACACACACACACAATCTAATAAATGCCCACACAATACATAATACGTCAGTGTGCACGCAGCATAACGTGAAGCGTAAATGCAATCGAGGTAAATCTCATCAACACGTGATTTGTGTGTTTATATAAAATCAGAATGCATGTTTCCACAAACAAAGCTACAGACCAAGAAAAAATGCTATACAGTAATGCATTGCACTCACAAATCCATCTTGAAGGTCAACAAAACATACAATTGGGTCCTTTTTACATCCTGAAGAAGGAAAAAAAGTTAATAAGCATATCATTTCAGTGTCATTTGCTTATTATTTTCTAAACCATCTTGTGATTTGCCTGCCACAGCCATGAATTACTACTATAAGGCCTACTACGACATAATTGGAAAACCGCATACCATACAGTAAAAGCATGAGGTACACACGTAGGCTATATATGAGCAGCAGGGGGCGCTGCAACCTTAACGTGATTCTTTATATTGTGAACAACAACTACAGAGGCAATAGATGCATACATCACCTGCGTTGCTTTTTAGTGTTGGAGAGTAAAAAAAATGATGCATTCAATACTATAGAAAATCTAGAAATTTCAGATTACAGTGATAAATACCCCAATAGTAGCAACAGCCCAATATCACCAATGTGCTCTTTCAGTCTGTTAAAGAATTGTTCATGTACAAGTAACAATATGTAGCTGGTGCCAAATCTAAATCTAAAACAGTGTTCTGCTGCACAAATTCAGTTTGGTCATTTTTCTCTCATCTGTGAACTGCAGTCGTCAGTTAAATACAGCGTAGTAATAAGTATCCTACCTTGCAACGTTTCCCTCTAAAATGTATTAATACAATGTAGCACAAAAAAGAAATACTTAAACAAACGAGTATCTAGAAAACACTTCCCACTATTTTGTGTTTTCTACCAGCAAGTTTGAAGGATGCATTTACACGATGCCCTTGAATGCAGCACGGCTCTGACAGTTTCGACCAATCAGAAGCGAGATGGCATTTTAAGTTTGAAGTTACCGGACCTGAGAGCAGCTCCGCTTCTGCACCCTGCACAAGGCAGGACAGAGCCGTGTCTCCCCTCAGCTTCTGTGGAGGATGAGTAAAGAAAGCCGGTCTGTTTTCTAAACTAGACAAGTGTCGCTTTATTTCTATCCTTTAATTCTCGTCGAGGAACTCGCTCTTGCTCGCTGGTTAAACGCAGTCGACCTGCCTTTAGTTACGTGCTGCGGTTAACGTTAGCATCGGCAGGAACTTTCCAAAACAACGTTAGCTTACGTGCTGTTAAACCCACAGTTTGGTATTTTGTTCCAACAGCTGTATTAAAAGGGTCCCACAGTCATACCACCGTGGAGGTTGTGTTTGCTGACCCTCCGGCAGACCCCCGTAAAGGATTGCAGGTATGTTACGTACAGTGTGAATAGGCTTGTATATGTTGTAACGTTGTGAAGAGTATGTTGTTGCAGTGTAACATTAGCACAAACTTTAAAGCGTCCCCCTGAAGGTGTTTAAGGAAATGCTCCTTTGTGACAGTCACATGTCGGTAAGTTACCAAATGTTATGTTCAAGGATATGATGCGTGCTTTTAGGTCTCTCAACGTCTGTCATTGCGTGTAGTCAGTTTAGTTTCCTTCCTTAATCATTAGCCTATTTCTCACGGCGACAGCAGGGAAACCGTGCTGTTTCATTTAACACTGCTCAGCCCTTGTGCTGTTTAATCATTTTCCACTTGTAACTTGCTATTTGAGCCCGTTTTCTTAAGGAGCATAGGAGAACAACATTACTCCCATTAAATGTAGGCGCTTTTTTTTTTCATGTCAAGGCAGTCCCTGTGTGACATATCAAGTGACAGCATGTCCAAGCCAGCTGGTTTTCACCCTCCGTCTTCAATTGGTCAACAGAGACTGGCTGAGCCGCCCTAGGCCCCCTTTGCAAACAGTGACAGAGAGGAGTGAGCGGTCGGGGTTGTGCTCTGCAAAAACCACCTGTGAAAACAAAGTGATAAGAAAGTGCGAGAGAGCTCAAATGGACCCAAGTCACCATATACCTTATTTCACCACGCTGTGAGGAAGAAGTTTGCAGTTATGTCACTTACAGACTAGGTTGTGTAAGTTGGTTTGGAATCAAAGTCATGTTTATCTGTGTCACACTGCCATGGCTGTGCAAATACTTGCACCCTGCTTGAGTCATGTGTATATTGTAATAGATGAGACTTGTTTGATTTCCGTTTAAATGTGGTGACTGTACTCTTTGAGAGGTGTAGCCTGTGTTTATTCAGCGTGCATTCATTTTAAAACTGGGGCCCTGGCTCTTATCACTTGTCATGAGACTGTGAATTAGAAAATGTATGCTCAAAATAATGTAATTTTAGGCAGAGAAAAAAAATTATATAACCCAAGTTCAGTACACTTTATCTTCATAATGTGTGTTAAAACTGTCCCCTTAAGACTTCACTTACTTATTATCTTCCCAAAACCAGCTATAATTTCTTATAATCTTGTGCTGTCAATCATTTTTAGAGTAGCTGTTAATTTTTTTTTTTCAACTGGTGCGTAAAATGGAACTCATCGAAGCTTTATATCCAAGGGCTATGGTATTCGAGGCTTTCCAGACTGTAAGTTTTCCACTGTACGGCATCTCCGTGGCTTGTGTCACAACAGGTTTCCCAAGAGCCAGCTGGTGTTGAGCAAGAGAAAACTGATACACTCCTTGATAAGACCTACGGTGTGGCAGGCACTGAGCAGGACAGCACACGTTTGTGTTGCTTCTTTAACACAGCGTGCTCCTTTGTGTTACTGTTGTTGTGTTGGGAAATAACAGAAAGTTGGTGGACAAAGACACAGTCACCTCTGAGAAATATCCAGCCTGTGCACGGCAGCTTGAGCGGGACGTGTCCGAGCAGGGAGTGGCTGTTGTCATGTTTTTTTCCCCCCCTCTCCCCCCTTTATAATTCTGCTGCTCTTTACCTGCCTCTTCTTTGGACCATGTAAAGGCCCCAAAGAGACAGACGCCCCCTTTTGTTGTTGAACTGAAGTGAGCGTTTTTATTGTCAGGGTAAGTGTTATCATTCACCTGAACGCCTCGTGTCAATCTGGGGGTTGGTGTAGCATCACCCCTGCTGGAGTCATGTTACTCAACACTGGCGAGAAGGCTTTTAGAGGGTGGATGAGCGTTGAGGACTTACACTGCAGAGACATGTCTTGTTCTGCGCTGAAATATCAGCTTGTTGATCTTTTTTTTTCTCCAGAACAAGTTGTCATGAGTGCATCTGTGGATCAAGTTTTCTAAATTCCCGGATAACTAACATTACAACAAAGCTATAGCAAGGAACACAAGAGCCGGAATGACAGTGTAGAGTAGAGCGTTCTCTACACTGATCATGGTTTTTGGAGCAGTTTGGGTTAAGGAGATCATAAAAGTGCAATCTGCATGTAAAATACGTGTGGTGATGCTGACCGCCTGCGCTCGCCAAGCTTCAGTACTGATTGACTTTACCCTCAAAAACTGTGGGATTAAACCATTTCCTTGCCTTTCTTTCCCTTTTTAAAGCTTCAGATCACTTAATGGTCTCTTGTTGGGCTTTTAGTCTGTGTGTTCTGCGGCCGTTTTGCCAGCCTTCTGTCATGTAGGTGTAAGTTTGGTGAATGTACCTCCCACAGAGTGTTGCTTTACTGAAAAGTAATTGGAGGGATGTTAAAAAAAAAAAACCTTGTTAAATTAGGTTTGTATGTTAGATTTAAATGGGTAATTAAGGTTTTTAACAAGGCTCTAAGAGGGAAAGGCCCAAAATAAGTACACTTGGGCATCCAGATTGCTTCTGTTAAGTTAAAAATGATAAAAGATGTAGTTTTAAATCCACTTTGGATTAGCGGTTAGATTCCTTTCTTACATCATTTTGTAGAAAAATGTCCGTCTGTCTATTGCTCTTATTGTAGCTTCTGCTATTATGCATCTCTGCACCAGCAAAGAGAGAGTGGAGGAGTGTTTTATTTTCTATTTTAAATGTATATTTGTGGCCCTATGTTTGTGGTCATATGACTTTGGTAGCCCTTTGGCCAAATGTAAAAGCTCTACTCAGGTTATGAAAATGTATTACTCAAAGCATTTATTTATTATAGTAGGTCAGCATATTCATTTTCACTCTTAAGCTTCGCCTCCATGTGTTACAGTTAAGTAGCATGCTGCTGCTGAACTGTAAAACTTGGCTGCAGAAAGTCAGGCACAAGATCCACCCACCCAACCCCCTCGCTCCCCTCTCTAGGTCTGCCCTATCCTCCCTCCTCAGCTCTCAGCAGGGTTTGATGTCGGCTGCACAGCCAAGAAGTTCTGAAGTACAAATATTTATATAAAGCAGAAGGGATGTGACAATGTGAGCAATAGGAACTCCGCAGGGAGGAGTGCTAGGGGTTACCCTCAGGCTAATCTCCACTAAGACATATTTACAAACCTTGCTAGCAGTTAGAGTGGACCGTTTCCAGTTTCGTCACCAAGACGCTAACAGTATTTGGTCAGCAACTGCACAGCCAAGGCCCACTTCAATGACGTATTTAACCAGCGTAATATTTGCATGGCACATAAACATATGGTTATACTTCAGACTTTTATTTGATTTGCGCGCACATAATTGTTTCCATGCGCAGGGGAAGCACAAGGCCTCTCTACATACTACATTTGACTTTGTTTTAGCTCAGTGCCAGGGCAGAATTTCATCTGACACCATTGTCAACTGAAAATAAAGCCTCAGAATAAAATGTCAGAGTGTTTTGAATTTACGTTCAAAACAAGTTGGTTTATGGGAAACCTTTTCTATACATAGCAAGCAGGGTTTCATTGTCTTTGTGCCCATGTGAGTGACAGATGTTGCCATGAAACATCCATTAATAAAACATGCACAAGCAGTTGTATCTTTGTAAACAACGTGTAGGGAAATAGTCAAAGCATTGTGTTTAAACACAGCAACATGAATGCAAACTAAAAAAGGGGATGTAAAGATTGTCTTGAATTTATCCTTCAGAGACATGTTTGCAAAGAGTATTCAAACAATACTGTTTTATTGTCAGTAAACTACAGTCTATATATTATATACAGTCTGTATGTTGTACTATGATTTCAAACGTGCACCATCAATATCACTGCGATTGAGGAACCAGTTGTGTTGTAAAGTTCAGTTCAGGAAAGTGATTAGTTGATTTTCCACATTAAAGGGCAAAGTTCATCAGTTACCTGCAACATCACACCACAAAACATTTCCATTCACCATCACTTAAGTAACTGTAAAATAACTGACACTTTGGAAGAAATGCTTTAAAAGAAGATCGCTCCTGTTTATATAAAGCTACCACCAGCAGCCAGTTAACTTAGCTTAACATGAGGACTGACAACTGGGGGAAACAGCTAGTGTGGCTCTCTCCAGAGGTAACTACATTTGCTTGTTTGATTAATTTCTACCAAAACTGAAGTGTTTAAAAGTTGTGGTTTATGGGGCGTTAGGTGCCGGACTATTTCCTGGATGGGAACAGTGACTCAGGTTTCCAAGCAACCAGCACAGACTAAAGACTTAGGCTGGCAAAATTTCTGGCCAAAAAATACTTTCATACTTTCACATAACTCCCACGAAATACCAAACTTTGGCTTTTGTATAGCTTAAGCTAAACGGCTGCTGGCTGTAGCTGCATAATTACTGTTCGGACATGAGAGTGGTATCAATCTTGTCATCCAACTCTTGATGAGAAGGTAAATAAGTGTATTTCGGCAGAAAACAAAATCAAGCTATTCCTTCAAACCTGACCCAAACCCAGTGCCCCAGCATATTTGGTTTTACATCCATCGAGTATTTCAGACACAGCCACTACTTCCCAGTGTTTGTGTTCGGAATTTTTCCGCTTAAGTGACTTTAGTTTGCATAAACAGTTAATACCACTACTGTTAATACTCCATCTCTCAGCATTAGCCCATCCCCCTGCAGCATAGGAGACCCCCCCCCCCACCACCTCCTGCTCAGTAGCATTCCAGCTGGCCAGATGGTGTCTGCTCTGCACAGCGAACACCAGAGAGCCGAGAGAGAGAGAGAAACCCCACGAGCAGGATTCTCCGGATGAGACATTCCACCCCACTGATCTCTGCACACCCCCCAACCCCAACCCCAACCCCACGCTACTCATGTTGCGCTCTCTCTCTCTCTCTCTCTCTCTCTCTCTCTCTCTCTCTCTCTCTCTCTCTCTCTCTCTCTCTCTCTCTCTCTCTCTCTCTGTTCAGTCTTGTCTGTATCTTACAGGCGACCATTCTGGGGATGAAGTCCATGTTGATAATTCGTTGACAAGCGGAAAAATCGCATTAGATGGTTTATGATGAGGTTGCTCTGTAGTTACTATGTGGTGAACTGTGAGAAAGAAAGATATAT